TCAATATTCTAATTTTCTAAAAAATTATATTACACATACATATATGTACCATGTGTATGGATGAAGATATTTTTTGATTGGTGAAGCCTTGAACTCGGAAAGCTCAATAAAAGTAAACTTTTTCCATTAATTTCAGATTTTTATCGTTTCAATGCTATTTATCCTTGACCAACCCACCATAACACAACGTATTCGTTCAATGTATAATATAATATATATATATATATATATATATATAAATGTATGGGTAACCATAACCATCGAACGAACCTTGGCATGAGAAAGAAAAGCTATTCATTTTTCACTAGCGTATAAATGCGAGTTATTAATATACTGGTATTATGAAGTAGAGGGGTCGGTAATTAGCGGTAGGTTCATCAGTCACTCGTCCTGTATCCTTACCGATCATGGACCAAGAAAAAGAGAGAAAGAGAGGAAGAAATCGGCAAGGAAGATAAAAGGTCCAAAGCAAAAGGGATCGACCTACGTCCTACCCTGTCCATCTTCCAAACGCGAGACACATTAAAACAGCTAATAGACTATGCCTTTTTATGAAAAACACCATGATGAGATATACCCTCTTCTCTTCTATCCTTTTGAAAATAAAATTTCTTTTACGATTAACGACCTTAATCTTTACTGTCGATGATTTACTCTTGTTTTTTTTTATTTTTTTTTTTTTTATCATTTTCTTTTTTAAACTATTTTTTTTTTTTATTATCAAAATAATAAAGAACAAGTAACAACACAAACTAAAAAATAATTATTATTATTTATAAACGTTCCTTTTGTCTAAGTCCTGTACACTAGAAATTGTTTGTAATTAAATTTATTTAAAATATATGAAAAAAAAAAATAAAATAAAAATTGTTAAATGGAATATTAAAGATATTTAAACTAATTTTATATATGTATTTTAATACATAAATTATTGAAATAAAAAAATATTAAATAATTTTCTAATTAAATTTATTTAAAATATACAAAAAAAAATAATAAAATAAAAATTGTTAAATGGAATATTAGGATATTTGAATTGATTTTACGTAATTTGATATATAAATTATTGAAATAAAAATATTAAATCAATTATTAATATAATATTATTTTTTAAAACACAATATATACTTCGTTACCTTTAATAATCGTATTTAAAGGTTACAATATTATCTGTCCTACTATTCCAATTTTCCTTTAACCAAATATCAAGGTCACACAATGTATTAATAAATATTATTTATTATACGATAAAAAATATAAAATAAACGCGTTGAAAAAAAAAAAAATGAAAGATAGTAACCCTTTGGGGAAAAATAAATAGGATTGACAAGGTAAAAAGAAAAAAAGAAGGTAGTAATAGGAAGGCGTGCACGCAGGTCGTAGAAAAGACACAGGAAGTGCGTGGAACTGTGATTGGCTGTCCAGAGTTGGTTGCCACTAGCTGGGTGACCTCTGACCCCACCCCCGTGGGGCGCGCGCACGTCTCCAACCCTGAAGGAAGTAATTACTGTACCCACCACCGCTCGATAACTGACACGCTATCATCTACAGTGCGCCACTGTACCTTAATACACCTTCCCTTCTACCTAACTCTTCCCCCTCTTACTTTTCACCTTGCACGTGCGCCATACATATATATATATATACATATATACCTTTCTATTTCCTTTGTAAACACCCTTTTGACGTATCTCTAATTATTTACTTATTTATTCGACTTACATATGTTCATAGTTTTTATTATAATATTATATACTTCCTTTTTTTATTTTATATATGTTTTTTTTTTTTTTATAAAATATTAATTATTTATAAACACTCTTTTGACTTATTTCTAATTATTTAATTATTTATTTGACTAACATATGTGTGCTCATATTTTTTACTATAATATTATATACTTCTCTTTCTTATTTTATATTTTATTTTTTTTTTTATTTTTACAAAATATTAATTAAATATATATGAATATAATTTTATTATAAATTATTTAAATAATTAACATAATATTTCTATATAAATAAAACAATCCTACATTTGACTATATTTTCAATGAAATCCTTTATCTCGTATCACCAATCACTATAAACATTATCTTAAATTTACCCCTTTTCCGAATTTGTTTATAACCTAAAAATATGACAACCTACAATGTTGATCATTCAATTCTTGATGCATTCAATTCTTTTTTTTTTATTATTATTTGATTTGATTTTATTTATTTGTGAAAAGAAAGATAGGAATATTTTACTTGGAAGAACTTTGATGGGGGTGGTTTCTTTCTGATAACCCCGTAAGGAGTATCGCGCATAAGGTCATCCCAAGCAGAATTCTCATTGGCAGCTGAATTTCTAGCTAGCATTGGGATTGGTCGAAGGTCGTGGGTCGCCTCACCTATCTCAATCCAACGTGACCTCCCACGCGACCCCGCGAGATAATCGCTACGTTTCTCCACCACCACCAACCATCACCACCCTTCTTCACAAAACCAACCCTATATGTAATACACTAGCATCAACTGTACGAATATTTTTCTATATTTTCTAAATACAATCAGATTAATTTGTTTTTTCATTATTTCTTAGAATTTAACAAATAGACAAAATCATTTCAATAATAAATATGGTCTATTTTATTATTAAACCATTATTTTGATTTTAAAAAATTGATCATGTGATGGTCTCTTTTCTCTTTCTAATTTCATAGAAATTCTTGAAAGATTTTTTTTTTTTTTTTTTAATATTATAAATAAAAGAAAATTTAATTGAAATGTTTATTACAAATATTTACTGATCAATTTTTAAAATAATTAAAATTAATTGGATATTTAAAATAAATACGAATAATGAAATATAATTTCCTATATTTTATTATATATAGGAACAAATTAATATTGTTGTAATACTTGAGTCAAGTTAAGATTTAAAACAAAAAAGAAAAAAACCAAATAGCTTCGATTCTAAAAAAAAGAAAAAAAGAAACAATATCCTACTAACAATTATTTGAATATTATGACGCAAATTAATATCGTTGTAATACTTGAGTCAAGTTAAGATTTAAAAAAAAAAATAAAATAAAAAAGAAAACACAATATCCTACCAACAATTATATGAATATTATCAAGCAAATTAATATCGTTGTAATACTTGAGTCAAGTTAAGATTTAAAAAATAGAAAACACATTATGTTAACAACAATTATTTAAATAGTATCACATAAAGTTAAAAATTATATCCCCATAGATATGATTGACTGATCACCCTTTAGAAGAGATTCTTTATTTTTTGAGGGGTGGAGGAGGAAGGTTGTCATGACAGAAAAAAGTCAGTAACTAAAAAGAGCACACAAATCTCATCGATCAAGTTTGTGACAAGCAGCAAAGCGTGCCGATTAACGTCCAATGGGGACCTTCTTCCTTCTTCTTTCTTCTTTCCTTTTTTTTTTTTTTTTTTACCACAATTCTTTATTATTAGACAAGGATGCATCATTGTGCTCGACTCCGCAAAATAGAGGGTGAAAACGTCCAAGCTAAAAGATCCGATCTGAATTTAGCCCAAGATCATGATCAGACCCTTTTTAGCCCTAAAGGGTGGGTGGCTTGTTTCCTATCTACGATATTGACTTTTGTTTTTTCTTTTTTTTTTTTTCTTCACAGTCACTATCCTAAATATATATATATATATATATTATTCGTACGTTTTATAACACATAACTCACATGACTCACACGTCTGTTTTTATAAAAAGAAAAAAAAGAAACAAAGTATTGATTGTTTTGTCGAATTTTTTGAAAAATATATGAAACTTGTCTCGGACATCATTAAAATGATCAATTTATTTTAATTATATGAAAATATAAAAGTATATTTTTAAAAATGACTGTAATTAATAATCTACATCGACTATCTCGGTTGGTTCAAATATTCTGTTTATATTTTCAATAAATGTAATAATATTGCAAATAATTGAATTGGTGATAGTATACACATTAGGTTGATAGAAAATGATGGAATTCAAAATAGAATCTGATTTATTTCAATGAAAAAGGAACGTTTTGTAATCGTAAACGACAAGTATCATAATATCCACGTAACATTAAACGTGCGTTATTATTGTATGGTGTAGTAAGAGTAACTAAGAGACATAATATAATTACCGTAATGCAATTAGTTGAGACCGCGTGATGGTCTGCTTTTTGTCTGTAGAAAATGGGCTGTGTGTGTTGTTCTCTTACAAGAAAGAGAAAGAAAGAATGAAAGAGAGAGAGAGAGAGAGAGAGATTAGATCAAGAAACAAGTAACCTAACCGTATAATCAGTAGTAACATCTGTGCTAACTTTAATCTAGATTATTACATTGACTATAGTCTATATTCTTATATGTATATTCTCTTTCTAGAAAATATAAATCAAAAACAACCCTAATATCACAAAATATTGAAAAAAAAAAAAAACAAATTGAATACTTGTGTATTTAATATTAAAAATAGATTCAATATTTATTATTAGATTCAATGTAATATTAAATACACATGTATTCAATATTTTTCAATATTTAGTGCCATTAGGGAAAACAAAACAAAATGGCTTATAATATTAAGTAGCAAGGAATAATCGATATGATTGGTAAGAATTAGAACGAATATATTTGTCATCGATAAAATATTAATCTAAAAAGAAAATATATATATACAAGTTTTTATATAATAATCCTTATACAATGATATCAAAATCAAAAATATTATATATATATATATATAGTGGAAGCGTAATTTACAACAAGAACAAAATTGTATCATCCTTCCTTGAAAATTTTGTTTAAAATCCATTAGTTTACATATATAGTTAATGATTAAAAAATAAAATAAAATATAGAATTTATCTTTATAATTGAATAAATAATAATAATAATAATAATAATTATAATTATAATAATAATATAGTTTATAAAACTATGTCCGTCAAAAAATATATATATATGTGTATGTATTTATTCTTTTTTCTTACTTCAAGTCTTTAATTCGTCACGTGTAATATTATAACGTTCTTCGATAAAACGAAATAGAGAATCGATGCAAGCGGATGATGACAACTCGTGAACTTTATGACCTAAATAAATGAAACAAATATTTATCAGTATATATACATATATACATATACGTAATTGTATATTATTTTGTTTTGTCAAACATTCAAACAAAAATCTTACCAGCGGATACTCGTTTTATATCTTCACTCGGATACTCCATGTCGGCATCTAATGGTTTATCTGAACAAATCCAATTCCTTGAGACCTACCATTACAAAAATTAATAATCAATCTTTAGAAAAAAAAAAAGAAAACATTTATCTATTAACTCCGTTGCTGTTAAATATTTTTATTTGAATAGAAAAATAAATAAAGAAATAAAATAAAATCCTTACAAGTTAATTCAATTGATACTTCGTAAAAGGATATAGAATATCAAATCCCAAGAAGAAGAAAGAAGAAAAAGAAGAAAAAGAACACTTAAAAAGTATTTCATAAGGTTTCTTAAAGTAACATTCGATTTCTGACCATCTGCAACCGCAAAAACGAAACTGCAAGGTGTACTTGTAAGCTGTAGGTTTCCGTAACGAAAATACGAAATGTAATGGAGTAAAATACGTTGGTCTTACTTCCAAAGAGGGGTAAGAAGAAGGAGGAGGAGGAGGAGGATTTATGTGTATATCCTTACGCAAGAAACGTTGAACGTGCTGAACGAGCACGTGCGAATCGTGAAGGAAAACCGCAACGTGAAATCGAATATAAGCGGCTCGTCTGACAACGACGACAACGACAACGATGACGAAGAGGATGAGTGAAGAAGAGGAGGAGGAGGAGGAGGAGGAGAAGGAGGAAGAGGAAGAAGAGAGATGGAGGAAGAGGAAAATGATTATTGCACTTTGGGGAGAAACGATCCTCCCGATTGTCGTCTAACCGAGTCAATTTCATTTGCTGTTTACTCAAAAGCGGCTAGCACTGGGTAAACATGATGGATCATGATGGTCCGAACATGAAGTGATCATATTATCTATACACCTGATAGTATTCACGTATATTCGATGATATGCTAACAATTACAAACCACCATCATCATCACTGCTATTACAATTGGTGTCCATTCTGCAAACAACTCCAATATGATTATTACACCACTAAAGGACATTAGACTATAATTTTAAGTTTTATTAAAATTTACCTGAAACCCGATCGAACCTAAACCAAGTCAAGCTTAAGTTAAGTTGAATCCAATTAGAACGCATCCTCGGGGGAAATGTCGTCGATTATATTTACTCGAAGTACCGTACTTCCACAGAGAAAGAGAGAAAACGCATTGGTACAAACCACAGTTGGTACTTCTGTTTGCACCGGCACTCTAATTGATTATTTGACGTCTCTGATAATGCGATGGTCGCTTTACCATTCTCCTATTACAGTTTGCTATGCATACTGTAGGATTGGACTATCCTGACTTTCTAATTGAACGAAGTTGGAAAATAAGTTAATGTTAAAGAATTAAATTTTTTGTTTTTTCAATTTAAAATATATATATATATATAAATTGTCATTTATATAAAAATTGTTTATCAACAAGCTAAATAAAATATAATTATTACATCTTTCTGTATAGAATGAAAAAGAAAACTTTGAATTTACAATAAAACGAAATACAAAATAAACTAATATTTAATTGCAATACCGTTTTTGTTTTTAATTGATCCTATCAAACAAAATGTTAAATGATCATTCTAAATCATAATGCATAGAAGAGAGTTTGAGTCGTACATATGTACATTTGATACCATATGATCAGTTTTTTCAAATCCTTATAGTAAAAATACAAAAAAAAAGACGAATATCAAACAGATTTCGACAACCGAAGAGACCACCGACAGAGTTTATAAGTACAATTCAATACCACTTAACGTCTATGGACTCTAAAGAGCTAATAAAAGAAGTCATACTGTGCATCTCACTATCATTGTCAATCTACAAATCGATCGGTTTAATCAAAGTCAATTCATATGAACTATTTCCTCTCTCTTTAATCCTATAACAAAAAAAAATTAATTATAATATATTATTATTATTATCTTCATTTCTATGACACAGATAAATGACAATTTTTATAAATAAATATATTTTCAAATCTATATTCACATATTTGTTCTATAAAATCTGTTAAGTGTGTTTCCACTCTTATCCACAACAGACAATTCAACAGTTAGGATCTACGTAGGTAAATATACCACATACTGAGTAAAAAGGGAATCTGAAGTACCACTCGGTAACGTAGAACGCTAATAAAGAGAACCACGCGGTGCTATTGTCGATCGGCCCAAGCTGCAGATGGTCAAATCATTTTCCTACACATTCTACTCCTTATACTGGTTTTAAACCACTATTATCATAATAACAAAAAAAAAAAACAAAAAAAAAAAAATACGAATAAAAAATGATTCAAAGTGATAATGTTAGATATATAACATACCTTCACTACATGACTAAATCCAATAAATGGTGCACTATGTACAGAATCTGTTAATCCAACAGCAAAAACCTTTCTTGTAAATTCCTCTGCATGCTTCATTGCCTAAAAAATATGCAAATAATAATTATTTATTAGATGACATTTTGTTAAAACTTTAATAATATAATAATAGTATTTAAATAACTTGCAAATTGTACAACGCATTCTCCACCATAGCTATGTGCTACTATAGCAACATATTTAGATTTTGATGGTCCGATGTAATCATACCATGCTGTTCTCAAATGTTCGTGTGGACCTTCGCTACCCTGTTTATAAATTATTTTTCTTTTTTATATCTCTTATAATAAATATTTCCTTCTGATAATATACATAACTTTGTTTAACACGTTTGCTACCAGTTTCACATATATATAACAAAACAATTTTTATCTTAAACTTAGCATCACATATCAAAGTGAAATATAAAATTATGAACTTTGATGGAATATCAAATGATAGCAAATGTGTTAAAATGAAAAGTTGATTGGAACCTTAATTTTATTTAATTTTCCATTAATTATTCTGCTGTTATCGTTGGTATTCAATACAAATAATCCATAACCTAATTCTTTAGCTTTCTTAACATATGGAATTTGTGTTCCAGTATAAAGGCAATCATTTATAATTAATCGTCTAGCCCATTGACCAGCTTTGACTACTCCACTACCATGAATCAACACGATAACTTTTTCATTCTCTAATGCATCCTCAGATGCAAATATGAAAGATCTTTTGTCTAATATTTCAGAACTTTCTTTTGGTATTGGTAATCTTGTTAAACCTTCCTTTTCCAACAAACTATATACATATTCATTTATAACCTGTAATTTAAATATTATATAATTTTAAACAATATATATATAAAATATATTATTATATTAGTTAATATAAATAATGGTAGAGATGAATAAAACTTACTTCACCTAATGCTTCATAACGTTTTTGATTGTAAGTTGCATCCTCGTTAAACTTAAATTCAAAACCTTCATTAGTTAATTTACCAGTTTCAGCATCTAATTTCCTTAATTGTCCATCTATTATTATGAAAATTGTACAGATCATTTTGAAATTCATTATACTATCTTACAAATATTTGTCATTTTTGTATATAACATACAAAAAAAATACCACGAATGCATTAAAATAAATATAGAAAAAAAAAATAAAGAAATGTATTTAAGGATTTAATACTTGTTCATATACCTGCATTAAAATCGTATCCAAATTCTTTGAGAGTTTTTGGAAAATTATGATACTCCATTTTAGTCATACCTAACAACTGAATAAAATTAATACAATAGTATTCGACAAGAACATAATATAGTAATATCAGACTGTTTATAACGCATATAATATAGGAGTGACAAGCTGTCATTGCTATTATTATAAGATAACCTAACTAATTTTTGTTCAAAATAATACAATTGACAATCTGTTTAATCAAAATGTTAAAAATATAACCTAACATAAATTTGAGATTAAAGAACAATTAAAATAATATACTTAACTGTGTTTTTTACGGCCGAACATTGAGAAAAACATTGATTAATATTTATACTTGTTTTTCTAACGACATTTCGAAGTAACATCGTTAATCAACAATGGCGCCAAATACAATTCGATTATCGAAATAACATCGACAAACAATCGATATATTATTGAGAAAATAATTCAATTGAGTTTTTTTATTTGTCGATATTATTAGCGCGAAAATATTGTTACATTTAATTATAATATTTGTATATGTATATATATATGTATATTATTATAATAAAGCACATTTATACAAAAGCTCATGTATATAAAATATTTTTACTTACATAATATGATAATGGGAAATGCTGCATATATAATAAAATATATAAAATAAATGTTAAAATAATAGCCAATGTTGTGTACTTTTATTTCATCAATTACATTTATATAAAATATACTTAATTATTTTTTTTTTTTTTTTTACTTCAATTACAGTAACAATTAGAATAAAATACATAAGAAACTGAAGTATAGCTCTTATAAACACACATATTTTAAACTGCAATAATAATTATGTATACATATATATATATACTATCATATAACAAAATTTACTAATTATATATATTGTCTTTTTTTTTTTTTTTTATCAAGAAACCATAGTCATATTTATAATATAATAATAATTAATAATTTGTGATTAAAACTCAAAAAGTGTATGTACATGTGTATGATCAAATTTATGTACAAACACACAGATGTATATAGTCAATAATATAAAAAGCATTTCTATTTTTTTATAAGTCCTAATTTTTTAGAATTTATCATTAACCAACAATTATTAATTTACTATACCTGCAGTTACATAAAATGTATACTTTAAAATTTGTTCTATTATCATTATATATGTTTGATTTAAAATTCATCTTCAGTTTTTTAAAACTACGAGCCTTAGTGTAAAAATATGTAATTAAAAAAATATATTTTCCTATTTATTTTTAACTATTTTGTTTTTCTTCTTTCTATTTAAAATAGGTTTAAGTTATGATTCTTCCTTATTTGCAGTGAATCATAACTTTAATAACACCGCTTTCGCATTTTGTTTTTGCAAACGCCGCAACAGTTTCTTCTATTTTGAAATTATGAGTTATAAGAGGTTTAACATTTATTTTCTTGCTAGCCAATAACTCTAATGCGTCGTTGTAACTAAAAAAAAAAAAAAGAAATAAATTTTATTAATATATTATTCATAAATATAAGATAACTTTAGCATATAAATAATACTTACGTATTGGCATATCTAAAGACACCTCTAATATCAACTTCTCTTACTACAGCACTAATAAGTGGAACTTGTACTTCAGGAGGACCACAACCAACCAGAACGATTACACCACCAGATTTAGTTACCTGAAATAAATAGTTAAAAGATATGATTTCGTTTAATAATAGAACACATTTAATAATACTTACTAATATAGCTAAACGTATCGATGATTGAGCACCAGATGCATCGACTGTCTTATCGGGATCATCGCCAAATAGTTCACGAATATTTTTAATATTCTCTGCCTCGGATACCCCCTGCCTTATTAAATATGTATCATCAGCTCCAAGTTCCTTTGCTGTATCCAATTTATCTTGTTTTATATCTACATATAATACATATAATAAATTACAATCAAAATGAAGTTTAATGTAAATATGAGATTTGTATATAAAAATTCATAGTATGATCAATTAGCATACCAGTAAGAATAACTTTACTAGCACCCATAGCTTTAGCAACTAATAACGTTACCAAGCCAATTGGTCCAGCACCTAAAATTAAAACCTTCGAACCGATACTGATACCAGCACGTTTACATGCGTGGATACCAACTGATAAAGGTTCCATAAGAGCTCCTTCTTCTAACGTTACATTATCAGGCAATCTGAAAAGTATAATAAATTTTAATATGCAATTAAAATATCTCAAATTATTCTGTCATACAAATTGACAAAGAAAAACTCAACCTAACCTAAGATAAAAACATTTATAACATTTCACTAATTACAATAATATAAAATAACATTTATGATATTTATATAGTTAATTCATATTTAAAATATTTCTTTAAAGATCTTGCACTTTCAACATTTATATACATTTGTTTTAAATTGTTTATAACCTTAATATTACTTTTTATAATAACCTAAAAAGTTATTTAAAAAGAAAGTATTTTTTATCAATTACATCTGATATTAATTAATAAAACAAAAATATTTGATAACATTTGATTTGTTTCATAACCTAGAAAAATATTCTCGACAGATGGCGCTTCGATGATACTTGAAAATAAATGAACCATCGTATCTTTAAAACGTATTATCAATGAATAAAGTAGTATCGTTTACGTGATTTCTGATTGGTCCGCGCGAGATAAGACACAAATTCAAATAATAAGCGTATGGATAACCGTCGTTTTCCATGTACGAAGAAAGCGTAACAGAATTGTCTGCATGTGTATCGTTAGAAAATTTGATATACAATATATGAGTTGGTAATTAAAGTGCAATTATTTAATACGCTTTACAATTAATTAGCAAATGAAATCTATACATTTGCACGACAATTATAAAAGGGATTGACATAATTGAAAGTAATTTTGTTAAGTGTGTGTGTTATTACGAACGAAGGGGCTATTGTAGTAAAGGACGAGGTTTGCTTTTATTTTGTTTTTCTTTTTTAGTTATAACTCTTTTTTATTCTTTGTTTTTTTTTTTTTTTAAATATCTCTATGTGTGTATTATAAAACATCAAAGAACGTAAAGTCATCATAGTTTGACTTGACGTATAAAAAAAAAAAAAAAATCGTTGTTGTTGAATTAGTAAGAAATTTTGTTGCTTTTGAATTTTGTGTGTAAATGTGCATTTGAAATATTTTGAAATAAAATATGATAATTGCAAGAATAATTGAGTTTTATGATTTTGTTTTAAAAATGTTTTATTGAAGAGCATGGCTTTTTCTTTTTTTTTTTTTTGACAAATCAAATAAAAAAGAATTTTAACTTACTAAGATAAGTTGTAAATTACTTTTTCATATTTTATATGTATATATATATATATATATTTCTTTTAACATTTACAAAATAGATGGAATCTCGTTTGCCAAAGCCACAATTCTACAAAAAAGCAACAACTTTATTGGACTTGGATATGAAAAAAAACGACCAAAACATGACTAAAACTCAAACAGGCATAACTACGCGTATAATGAGTGGTACAAGTACAACAAGACAATATAATAATAAACCTACAACAGACGACACGAAGAAGGATAATAATGATGAAAAATCAACTAACGAGAATAATAAACCTTTGGGTCAAACTATGACGCGTGCTAAAACTTCGGCAGCTATAACAAGAACCAATGAAGCAATAAAAGCTATGAAAAGGCCAGCACCAATTGTGACAACCGCTAATATGAAAAAGCCCAAAGTTAAAGTTACTACTAAACTTGTTAATCCTAGAAGATCATTTAAAGGTGTATTGAAAACAAGAAATGGTATTGTTAGATCTACTGAAACTAATGCTAACAATAAAACTACTACTTCTACTACTGCTACTACTTCTGCTACTACTTCTGCTACTAACACAGTCGTCAATAAATGGGATTATAAGGGTCGTTTTGCAATTGCAAATAGTGAATTGATCAAATTGCGTGGAACTTTCAAAGAAGTATCAAGCAAAAATAAAGAATATCAAAAATTAATAGACGACTTGAAGGACAATGAAAATACGTACAAATTAAAAGTCAAGGAATATGAAACATTGAAGACAACGTTAACCAAAGAATTAGAAACAACTAAAGAAGAATTTAAACAAGTACAAAATGAAAAGGAAGATTTTGTCAAACGTTGGAATAAAGCTGAAGAGGCTTATACGAATGTAATGGAAGAGTTAAAAAATGTTCAAGATAAATGTAATGAACAGAAAGTTAAATTACAAGAACAGGCAATAGAAATTGAAGAAATTAAAACTAAATTGGAACAGGATGAAAATCTTATTAAAGATTTGACTCTTCATAAAGAAAAATTACAATCGTTTGTACATCAAATGGATAAAGAACGTAGAATCCTTCATAATACAATACAAGAAATGAAGGGTAATATTAGAGTATTTTGTCGTGTACGTCCACGAACTGAAAAAGAATCTTCTAAACCGTGAGAGTCATTCATTTTATTATATTATATTATTGATTAATATAATTATTATATTTATTATTTTTCTTTCTCTTCACAGATTATGTTTTATCAAATTCGTCGATGAATGTACTATAGAAGTAGGAAAATCAGATGCAACTAATTGTAATGGAAAAGTAAGAAATGTACGACAAGAATTTTCCTTTGACAAAGTGTTTCCGCATAATGCATCGCAAGCTGATATTTTTGAAGAATTATCTCTTCTAGTTCAATCAGCTCTCGAAGGATATAATGTTTGTGTATTTGCATATGGCCAAACTGGTTCTGGTAAAACATACACAATGGAAGGGGAGCCTGGTTTTGATACAGAAGGCATGATTCCCAGAACGGTAAAGATAAATCATTACAAAAATATATTTCAATTGAATGAATAATCAAATTCGAATAATTTCATCGTAATATTATTTATAGGTCAGACATATATTTAAAGAAATGAAAGAGTTAGAACTTCTTGGATGGGAATATAAAATAGAAGCTAGTTTCTTAGAGATTTATAATGAACATATAGTTGATCTTCTTGACTCGCAATGTAATAAAATTCATGAAATACGTATGAGAGATAATAGAGGTCATGATCTTTATGTGAGCAATCTTAAAGTTGAAGAGATACATAATGCTGAAGAATTACAAGAATGTTTATTGGCTGCTCAACGTAATAGAGCTGTTGCAGCTACCATGTCAAATGAACGGTATATAATTCATTTATAAAATCATTAATTATTCATCCTTTAAAAAAAAACAAATACTAAATAAAACATTTGATTTGATTCCTTTTTTTTTTTTTTTAGGTCGTCCAGATCTCATTCGGTAGCACGTATAAGATTAATCGGTGAACATAAACTCAAAGAAGAAGTTTGTATAGGAAATCTGAATTTAGTTGATTTAGCAGGATCTGAACGATTAAAGGGTGAAGAAGCAGCTAGAACTGCAGAAACGAAAAATATTAATAAATCATTAGCGAATCTTGGTAATGTTATACTTGCACTTTTAAGGAAGCAAGAACATGTGCCATATAGAAATTCTAAATTAACGCATTTATTAATGCCGTCTTTAGGAGGTAATTCGAAAACTCTTATGTTACTCAATATATCTCCTTTAGACGAATGTTACAATGAAACATTAAATTCTTTGAGATTCGCCAGTAATGTTAATAATTGTAAAATGAATGTTAGAAGAGTTAAAACTGCGTTAACGAATACATCTAATTCATCGTTATCCAGTTCAAGCTCAGAAATCTGATCAACAATTTCTAATATTTTACTTGTGCAAAATATTTTTTAAACGTAAAACATTGATGATATGTTTGATCTTGAAAAACCCGTTTATCTATAATGTTTCAAAAAAATATATATATATTATTGCGTTAAAATGTGTATATTATTTCTGTATGTTTTTCTTTTTTTAAATTCTGTTTTTATTTAATAATTCTTTTCTTTCTTTTTTTTTTTTTAAACTCCCAATATTTCGCGAGATTTAAAAAGAAATATCTCAAATATTATTTTGTTGGCATGTACCAAAAATATAAAAAAAAAATATACGCGCATTATAAATTAAGTTTTTCTTTATATTGAATAATACTAGATTGATATTGTATTTCTCTTTAATAAAAAAAGAAAAGGAAAATTCTCGTTAATGCCTTGTACAATTTATTTTAGTTATATATATATATATATATATATATATATATACACATTTGTTAATTAATAATGTAATTATAATAAGGAAAGGAAAAGGGGGGGAAAAAAAATCAAAAAAACTTACTTGAAACAAAAGTCAGCTGCGTGTTTGTAAAAACGTCTTAAACTACCGTGTACAGGAGGAGTAGCCAAAAATACAACGTCTTTACATAAATTGTAACGGCCAGTTTTACAAAATGTACATTCTCTACAAGGCACACCAGGTTCTATGGCAACACGATCGCCGACCTACACAAAATAAAATAATTTTCAATTAAATTTTATTATAAATTCAATAATAATAATAATAATAATAATAATAATAATAAAAAGATTTATATATCAAATAAATTGACCTTTAAATTCTTCACATCTTTTCCAAGTTTAGCAACAATTCCGGACGATTCGTGACCAATGATCATTGGTTTAGTTAAAATAAAATCACCTATTCTACCCTTGTCAAGGTAGTGAACGTCTGACCCACAAATTCCAACACAACTCATTTCTATTAATACCTCTACAAACAAATATAATATACATATATTAATTATAACATCTTGTGCAACAATAGAATATGCAATTAAAAAAAAAAAAAATGTCATTTAATTTAAATTGATAATAAATTATATTTTTCTAACCATTTGTTCCTGGTTCCTCGATGGGCGTTTGTTCCTAGAATCAAAATAAAATTATTATTACCTAACATATATATATATATATAACAACATGATAAGGTTTCTACGAACATAATATAATTGTTTTTCCTTTACGTTCATAACGCAAACTATAAAATTACATAACAATTATTGTTACGTGTACATTTCTGTTACATTGTAAAATGCATTTTGAATTAATGTGTCAATTAAAAAGTCAATTTTTAGTCTTTTTTTTATTTTTTTTTTTTTTTTCATTTCTTTATCTACACATTTATATTTACATACTGCGATAAAAATTATTTAAATATTTGTATAAATGATTAATACGAAGTTTATAAATATGCTAATGATTTTTATAATTTTATTTAACGTTGTAAAAGTCTAGTGTGCAACTAGAGTTAACTTGACAAAAGAATATATGCATTTTAAAATCAATAATATGCCTGACTGTTACAACATATAGTGCATTGTTCAGAGTTCAAGGATGGTTAATGCAATAGATTCACTACTTCCTTCTAACAACTCGTCATTGAATGTATTTAGTGCATTTATGCAAGTGAATTGTGTGCTTGTTGATTTAATTTATCGTTCGAAATTTATTTCTATTAATTAAAATAAATATTTATATAAAAAATTATCAAAAAAACAGAAAAAAATAAGTAAAAATTAAACATATATTTGATGTTATTTATCGTAATATTCCATAATATATAATCGTGATAAGATAAATTATTTTTGTAATCGTAAATACGCGTTCAAGTGTAAAGTGTAAGATGTTCAAGTGTTCAGTGTAAAGATAATTTAAAAAAAAAAAAACAAACATACACACACACAAAAGAAAAATAATTATCTATACTTTTTAATGTAATTCTTATCAAAGAGATTAAATAATTATTTAAATAAATATTTTCTACGAGTGAAAAAAAAAAAAAAAAAGAAAAAAAGATTAAACAGAGAGTTGTTTACACGTCATAAAAATAATCGATTATTATGTCGCAGGAGTCAGGGATAAATTTTACAAACGTATGTTCACTTCTATCGTTACGGTTTATCATTATTCGGTTATCAATCGGTTATCATAAATTGTTTAAGACAACATATAATTATTTGTGAATAATTATTGACCAATGACAAATAAGTAATTATATAAATCAATATTAAATGTTTGAACAATAAATATTCATCATTAAAATACGAATATGTATTTTCAATTTTAATTCATTTCAAACCAAATCTACGACGCGTGACAACATTTTTACAAATGAAATGAAATGAAATGAAATAAAATAAAATTCAATATTAAATATTAAATATGAAATATTAGAAATAATAAAAGAAAATAATTATGTTTAACAAAAATTTCACACTTTTACGAAAAAGATGACATAAGAAAAGATAAATCAATAAAACTTCACCACTCTACTAATAACTCTACTAATTAAGAAATTATTATAATTTTAATTATAATAAATTAAATTCAAGTAAAAAATACAAATGCAAAATAAAACAAACGAAATATATTTCAATAAATAAATAAATTGATATTAAATATATGTTCTCTGTGTGTATATGTATATATGTGTATTTGTGTGTGTTTATAACATACCAATCGAATGTCATTGATGCCGTAAAGTATAGCAGTGAGATTATCCTTGGCCATGTTAACAGTTTGATTTGATTTAATTGAAATTTTCTTTCAAAATTAAAACAACGTTTATTCCGTTTTAATAAAAGTCAACTAACTCCTCCTGTTCTCTTTCAATGCTTCTTCGAGTAACGGCAAACGGAATGACTCTTTGGATGAGATAACATCGCTCTTTATATATCAGTTCTAAACCAGTACCAAAATATCACCATACTATACTACTGTGCGTTTGATTATCTTCCACGTCTATGTGAAAATTTATTTCATTTTCTTCTATCTGTCTCACTCACTCTCTCTCTCTCTCTATCTCTCTATTAATATTCTTCACTGATATGTATACACTACTAAGGAGTTTATATATATATATTTTTTTCTATATATGCTTGGAACGTGCGCACACTTATCCTTTATGTTTCTATATTTACTTGACATTTTTTGTACAGTAGAAATAGGTATCCATTAGAGAAATTCCTAATTTGACTTCTTATCATACGAAATTGTATTCATTAATTCAGATTTTTGTCAAGTAATTATTATAATTTGTCTTTTTATATTAATTAAAAGTAAAAATTATTCAATCAAAAATTAATCTCAATAGAATGGAAAGAATTTTTGGTTGTTGTTTTGATCACATTACATTTAAATTATATATTGAAATGATATAATTTTCTTTTTTTTTTTTTTTTCTCTTTTTTTATATTCATTCATTATTTTATATTCTATATAATAAATATTTGAAAATATTTATACAATTGTAATATATATATATATATATATATATATATATATATAAAAAAAAAAAAATTGTAATATTATATAGAATATAATATAAGTAAAAAAAACAAAAAGAATGAGAGTGAAATGTTAGAATTTTATTCGGTTGATAATTTGTTATCATCTGTCGATATGTTATCGACAAATGTCAATGACAAATAAAAAAAAAATATATCTATTTTATCGACGAATGCAAATAATAAATAAACGAAATCTACCTTATCAACGAAGATAGATAAACAAAAAAATGATAAAATTTTCTATTAAAAATAACTCTCTGTACTTTTGATAAAAAAAAAAAAATAAAAAAAAAGAAGATATTCAATAATAATATTACAAAATTCATTGAATAACAGAAGTTCATACGAAAAAAATATTTCTTTTTCATTTTTTTTTTTTTTTTCTTACAAATGATTAACTTATATGAACAATTATAAATAAAACAATAATATTTTAATAATCAAGAGCACATATCATTGCAACGCCACGTTTAATCCAATGAGCTTGTGATTTTTGACTTGGAATTTCCATAGCTAGGATAAAATTGGTCGAATGACCTGTGGTACTTAAAGTACCAGCACGTGCTATAGTTTTATATACTGGACAAATATAAATTGTATCTTCGAATATTTCATGATTCAATTCGGGTAATAAAAGGATAGGAGACATTTCTGTAAAAAAAAAAAGAGACAAAACAAAACAAAACAAAACATTACAAATTTCATATAAAATTAATACATCATGCCAATTATAATTACCGGTGTATAATTCTTTGGGATGTGATTCTTCTAAATAATTTCCACCCCATCGACAACCCTCAAGAAACAAACCGTACACTACACAACCATCCTCTGGTTTTTCCTCTGGTTTTGAATCCAATACCTTTTATATATATATATATAATAAAACAAAATATATATACATAAATAATACAATGTTTATATAAAATTGTTCAATGTTTGTTAATTATACTTGTTATATAATAATTTTGACATTTAATTCATTTACCTGAAAGCTAAAATCAATCGTGTCAATAGAAATCACGTATTTTCTTGCATAATTTTGCAAAGTGGCTGTTAAAAAAGCTTGAGGAAAATAAAATCCTGAAATCCAAAATGCTGGTGGTATACCATTGGCGTACCATTTTGTAATAAATTTAATGCGTTCTTTCAAATCAACAAACCAAGCACCTAAAGTCAAAAAACACAAAAAAAAAAACAAAAAATAAAACATAGATTTATATCAATTTAATAATAAAAAAAAAAAATTAATTATAAATATTAGGTTGTCCCAAAAGTTTCTTCCTTTGTTTGATAATAAGTTGAACAATATTGTATGCGTAATATAATATTTTTTTTATTTGTATTTTACGATATTTTACTAAAAATAATATTCTACTTTATTTTACATTTTACTATACTTTAAATTATTCAACATAAAAAATATGGTACCTGTAGAATTACTAAAAAGGAAGAAACTTTTGGGACAACCTAATATATATATATATATAAAACATACCAAGTGGTTTTAACGAAGGATAACCTTTTTCTTGCCAAATAATTGGTATTTTATTATTAGAAATATTTCTAGCCATTGTTTCCAAACGTTCGGACATTACAACTAATCCTTTCAATGCTTTTAATAAATCATCTAACGATAATTTAATTATGTTTAATAATGTATTGTATCGTTTAGCTTCCTGTACCAATACAGTGTTAAATGATTCTTCGTATAAAACGGGATACCTGTCATTTCAAATTTATCATTTTAATCATAAATAACATATGAAATATAAATATTTGACAATTAAGTTAAACTTTCATGTAATATTAACTCGAATTATATTTATCATTTATTTTACATTAATTATTTTTCTTCATTATTGTATTCATATTACAGTAAATCAATCAAGCAAATTTATGAAATATTAATTACATAAAATAAAATAGATAATAATATATATATATACTAATTTTCTTTTGCTTATATAATATAAATAAATAATGTATTATTTATTATTGCAACGATACCTTATCTGTATAGCAATTAAATTGAAAGATTCTGGTAAGGTAATTAACATTTCTTGGGCTTGACGTATCGTAATATCCTCAACACTAACAACTGCACTACTAAGCTCTCTTGGTTGTAAATTAAGTATCGTTTCCAGACACATGTAAGTTTCAGCTTGTGCAAAACTTATATCTGCGTTAGGATGCATCCCAAAAAGTGAAGGGTCGTCATTAAGTGGAAGTGTTTTGATGTATTCTATGTAATCATTGAATGTACTAGTTGCTGGTAACTGTAAATTAAAAGAAAAAAAAAAAGAAATAATAATAATTATATATTTTTCAAAATATTGAGTTATCCTGATTTTAAATTCGCGCCGATTTTGAAGGAAAATTTAAATGCAATTCATTTGAGTTTAATTTTTTGTTATAAATTTATTAAATAATAATTTTAACTATATATATATAATAATAAATAATAAATATAATAATATTGGGATCTCTGGCAGGGGCGTGGACCATAGCAATTCGACCTATCTACTCTAATTTTGAATTTAGTCACCACATAGCGTATTCAAGTGCTAGAGATGATCCCAATAATAACTTCAAAATGTTGTCTTTTCAGAATTTTTCAGGTTTTTTTTTTTTTTTTATCAAAAGAACTTTTTTAATAACATCTATCGAACATCGGCACGAACTTTCCGGACTTCCCGATACATGCAAATGCTTTCCCATTTCATTTAAATGTATCAAATATTTGTTTGTACATTAGTTGACATTATTTTACTATCTCATAAAAAAAAAAATGAGGTTATAAAATATGTATAAATATACTTGATAATATATTCCTTCATCGTCAAAACGAAAATCACTTGAAACAACATCAACATTGTAATAATCTTCCAGTATCGTTAAAACACATCTACGATCCCAGTTGTCAGTTATACGTCCGCCATAATTAATGTGTCCAGCTGTATAGATAAGTACCTAAATGTATTTTCTTTGATTAGAATCATTTTTATTTATATCATCACAATAAAGGTATTTAAACTTTATTCCTATTGGTGGTAGAATAAAATAAAATATTGAGATCTCTGGCAGGGGCGTAGGGCGTAACAATTCAACCTATTTACTTTAATTTTGAATTTAGCCACCAGATAGCGTATTCAAGTGCTATAGCAGTCATACCTTAAATGGTATAACTGTATATTCCATAATAAACATATGCAATTGTGATAAACAAATAGCCAAATCTCCGCTTGTAAATTCATAAGGTATGTTGAATCCCAAAGAACCAAATTTTCTTCTTTCCAATAAAATCGAATGAAACAAACATAATGAAAAGACAAGATATTTAAATGGTTCTACTTTTGGATCATCCGATTCAAGAAAATTCTTCATTTCTGCGACCTGTGTTAAATATGCTCGAAACATATTAGCCTAAAATACAAATTTTTCTGTAAATTAATTTACTAATATGATATTACTGTTTTATAATAATGTTTTAACACTAGATATACCACCATTTTCTACCACACTAGTCAAAATGACTGGTGTACAAAAAAAAAAAAATACTTTTTGAGCCTTCCAGTCTTTATTTATTCTTAAAAAATAACGAAAACAATGTTTAACAATAATAATTTTAATAGATAAATGGTTTTATAGACATTTTACAATTATTTACAGAAATCAAATGTTACATGTAATAGAAATTTGGAATTAAAATGGCATCAAAATGACTGGTCTGGTATATCTAGTGTTAATATCTATTTTGTTACCTTTACACCTCTTGGTGGTTCTATGGTCATTTTATGACCATTCTGTAAAATGCTAACAGGAAAATCTGGGGAAGGTGCTGAAGTCAACCATAAACGAAAATCACTATGGGTTTCTTGCGTCAACGTTTCAACCAATGTTTCCAAATGTGGCATCCAACTTGGTGCTAAATGACAATTCTAAAAAACAATAACAAAATTAATTTTTATTATTAAATCAACATTTAAACAAAAGAAACCAGAAATAATATTTCATTGTCCTATTATTATTTTTTTCGATAAATGTCACAGAATATGTTTTGATTATTTTACCTGAAAAAAGATCCAATTGCCAATTTCAGCTGATTGTTTTAACATTGCCTCAGCTCTAGGACCTTGACCTTGTCCAAGTGATATGGAATATAATTTTCTACTCATTTTTTGTTTTTCAGCAAATACATACAACTCAGCTGCCGGATCAGTTCCGGTAGACAATACAAATACCAATGGCGTTGTTTGACTTGATTCTTTGTAAAGTGCACTAATTTCCGTTGTTTGTGGTTCGACAAATTCTTCTCCCAAATATTTCTTCAAATACATTTGTATTGCGTTGATCATTTTATCAGGACGTAGACACTTCAGTACCAACATTTTTTCAAAATCGTCCAATTTACTTTGCCATGGTTCAGGAAATGCGATCCTTTAAGTACAAATACAAATTCAAATTTACATTGAATGAAATCATTGATTTACTTTAATGAAACATTTCATGTGTTAATAAGTTTTCAAAATGTTATAATTATAATTGTCTTACAAATGTGCATCCTCTTGTGCATCAAATATGTATTTAAATTGTATCAAGGAACGTTTAAAATCTATGACAAATTCATGAAACTTTGGTAACATTTCTAAAGCTTGAATTTCTTTCCAACATCTCTTAGATATCCAAGTGGGATCTGGATTTGGTAAATCCTTGACAAATATCAGAAAGAAAGTTTTTGAATAAGTTGAGTTGAATCGTAAAAAAAACTTTTACATATTTCTAACTATTACTCTTCTTAATTGTAATAAAATTAAATTATATTTTATTACACCAATGTATTTTATCAAAACAAAATAAAATAGAAAATATTTATTGTATATTTTTATATTCATATCTAATATAATAATAATAATAATAATAATAATAATAATAATAATAATAATAATAATAATAATAGGATTCAAAATGAAATTAAAAAAAAAAAGAAATTAAATTATAATGGAACAATTTGATGAGATTGTATTCCTTTTGTACAATTTGATATTTGATATTATTTAAATGAATTATTGAAATAAAAATCATGATAATACTTACGTTAACATTAGCAACAATTATTCCAGATAACAAATGTCTCCATTCATCAACATCTATGAGCTTATCGTTAATTCGTATACGTGCGCAAACAAGAAAAGCAAAATGCAATTTGTGTTTTTCAAATAAACTACGACAAACGTTGCAAAACAAGTCGAAGGTGAAACGCTTTTGAATATCAACGATACGTTTATCTATGTCACCTGCAAAACATTTCAAATAAAATGTTAATTAAACAAAAAAAAAACAAAAAAAAACAATTACAAATACTTATTAATATAACATYATTATTATTGTATAAAAGTCACATTATTTGTGAATTATTAATTAATTTGTTTTCTATTCTTTTTTTTTAGGAATATAAAATTGTAAATTTTTTTTTTTGTTCTTTTTTTTCTTTTTTTCATACAAACCACTTTTCTCGATAGCAATTATACTGTTGTTGAAAATAGAGATAAACCATTCCAAGGAATATTGATACATGGTATCTATGTATTGTAAATCATAAAGACAAAAAAATAATATTTGTGCTCTGTCTGCTACGGGAATATACAATGACCTCGTAGAATCGATATCCGATTGTGTTTCCTCCGCTGCTTGTACTTTTATCTGCATCATAGATAAGATTTTTATTTTTATTTTTATTAGAAGAATTTCTTTTTTTTTTTTTTATCAATAATCCTTATAAGAGCAAAATAAACCCCGAACACACAATTTTCAACACATTCTTCATTGAATTTACAATATTCATATCCCAATAGTTATAAAATATGATATTTAAATATTTTATGCTGTTTTTTTGTTTTTTTTTTTACAGATTTTACAGATTTACATTTTTTTTATAATTATTTATTTATTTATTTTTCCTATCAATGTTTTTTAATAAACAATATCAATTTTTATCAATGACAATTTCATAATAAAAAAATAATAATAATAATTTCAAAATAAAGTACGCGTGCAATTAATTCGCCATTTATTTGTTTAGAAACAATTAAATGGTAAAAAAAAAAAAACAAACAAAGATAAATAAAACTAAATGGTTTTATCGGTCAACCTAACACACTGTAGTAGGTGGGGTGACATTTTTTTTTGGCACGTGTGTGTGCTTTTTTTTCTATCTCGGTCAAAGTTATAAAAAATGAATAGGTTAAGAATTTTTCCACTAGCCTATCGTACATTGTATACATTTGTTAAGATCTATATATATAAAATAAAGTATAAAAACAAGAAAAAAAGAATAAGTAGATAATATAACCTTGATTTCTTCGCTTTTAGCTTTGGAAGCATCCAAGGTCAATATTAAATCAAGATCATCTACTGCAGAACCTTCTGATGATGTCAACCTGTATAAAATTCTATCTTCCAGTTCTTTCAAATCTTTCTTCATCTCGGCATTTGATACAATCAAAGAATTACGAATTTGTTCTAAATCCGGTCTTTCTTGTATTGTAACTAAACTCATCATTTGATCCAATAAACCACTGTAAATATAAACGTGTTAGAGTGTGTTGTACAAAAATGTTCACGTATTAATTTAACATTCAAACAAATTTGACAATTAATATTACTAAATAAATACAGTTGCATGAAAAATTCAGGACTACAATATGACTTTAGTATTTTTTTTACTAGGTTCAGTCATTTTCGAGATTTATTGTTCAACTTTGTTTATTTAAATACAATGTTATATTTAAATACTAATTTTTGGATAACGGTTGACAAGACGAATCCAATAACGTGCAACATTAAATACAAAACCTGACAATGACCAATAAAAACTATTCGGAAAATATCTGTTCCGTTCGTTGTCGGAACAACTAAAGTATGACGTAACCCTGACACAACCCTGACACGACCATGACGCGGCCATGACGCGAAAGAGCTGTATTTTTGCCGTCTTGTTCGTCGTCAGTTGGGACCATCGTTGATCTTTAAAAATATTAATGTTGCACATCATTGGATTTGTCTTGACAGCCGCTATTCGAAAATGAGTATTAAAATATAACATTGTATTTAAAAAAACAAAGTTGTCCAATAAATCTCGAAAATGACTTAACCTAGTAAAAAAATACTAAAGTCATATTGTAGTCTTAAATTTTTCATGCAATTTTTCTTTTATTCACTTTTCTAATCAATTTGTTAAACACATTTTTACCTGGAGGTCAATGCAAAATTAACGAGTAACACCTTTATAGATATTTCCGGGGTGTAATGGGGATTAGCTAATTTACTTGTTAAAAACAAACGAAATTCTGGATTATATGGTACTACGTTATCACCAACTTTAATGCTTGTTTGTCCAGCATGTTTGAAATATGATCTCATAAGTATAGGATCTAAAACGGATTCGAATTCGATACCTACGTTCTCAATCAAGCATGCTTTACCAAAACGAATACTACTTTCCAATATTCGTAGCATATCTTTGCTTGTCATCTTTGTTATTGATAAACCAACTTCTTTGTACTGTAATTACAACAAATTAAATAAATTAATAAAAATTATATATATATGTAAAAACAATATTGTTAAACTATTTTTACAGCCTACAATATTTTCATAGTACTTTTGAGAACTCGATTGTTTTATACCGTACTGAATCATCAAAAGACTAAAACAAAAATATGAAATTGGAAAAGTTGAATTTTCTACTCTTCCCGCTCCCCCTTCCCTCTCCCTCATAAAACTACGTTCGAAAATAAAAGAATAGAAAAATCCTATTGATCTCGTAGAATGTATACCTGTGGTTTTACCTTACGAATATTTAAAAACTAATTCGAAAATACAATGCTGTGGGATTTCGTTTAAAAATTAATTATAACAATGAGAAGAAACAAAAGAAAAAATTCAATAAAATAAAATTGAAAAAAAAAAAGAAAAAACTATTCTCTCTGTTGTTTTTCTTTTCATTGACTTTAGTCAAATTCATTTTCAAATTCGTCCAACATTTTAATTTGCACAGAATTGTATACTCGAGAATACAAAGATAATAAAAACAAAAAAAGAAAATAATATTATTATTCAGTTTACAATCTGATCAAAAAGAAAATGTTAATCAACTAGTAGCCAAAGGCAAAATATGTTTATCATTTACAAAGTAGATGAAAGATTAATTTTTTTTTTTTCTTTCGAAGATATAAGAAAGAAATATTATTCAATGAAAAATATACAAAGTCGTCAACTTATTTTTCTTCAATTAAATATCATAAGAATCTTTAATCAACCCTCTACCCACTCCTCCATTATCCCCACTCCTGCATTAGCCCCCACTCCTCCGTTACTCCCACTACTCTATTACTCCCACTACTCTATTACCCCCACTCCTTCCTTTAGGATCTATTATTATAATTAAGTATTATAAATATACTTTTGTATTTAACAAACAAAATTGATTTAAATAGATGAAATAACAAATAAATAAAAAACATATAGTTATACAATAATTTATAAAAAATATAAACAAATAAACAAACCGTATTACGAATCCATTTATTGGCCTGTCCTTGCGGATCGATAAACAGTGGCCATCGTTCGGAGTGCATTACTATGACAGCATTTTCAACGGATAGAAGGTCCCTTGGTAAACCATCCAATTGCCATCTCCTTATCAGTACTTGATCACCTAACGTCGATATTGGTGTGCAATTTGGTGTATGGGGTACTCCCTTACCCATAATTTCATACCAAGATGTCACAAGGGTTTTCCGATAAACGTCAGTAAAGGGTGTCAGATATGCTATCGCACCTAATCATCAAGTTAAACATCAGGATAATAAGATTTGACATGTGTCACAACTTTATATTATCAAGAAAATATTTTAATGGACATCAGATATACTCTTCAGAATACAGTTTTATTATTAAATTATTCCATTAGTTAATAAATCATATTATCTGTTGATAATAATAAATGAAATATGATTTTTATTATGTTAATATGATAATAATTAGGTTATGTGATTTAATAATTATATTTATTAAAAGATTTATATTATATTTATATTTATATTTTTGTATTTTATTATCTAAGTAATATCAAATTTATTATTATCAATAATTTGATTGTAAACAGTATTAATTTTTAGTATTTAATCTGTTACTGTATAAATAGGTTTTAACTACATTTATATTTAATTTAATATTAAAGTAATATAGAATATATAATATATATATATATATTTAAAAAAAAAAAAAAAAAATCACTTTAAATAAAAAATAAACTTATAATATTTTAAAACAAAATAACATATTACAGTAATTATATAATATATAATACTAAATATGAAATATTCTGAAAAGAATACCAAAAAAAAAAAAAAACACACACACAGCTGTATAAAATATCAAATAAGATAAAATACATGATGATGACTATGTACAATTAAATATTAAAGTAATTATAAAATATACAATAAAATATTTCATTTTACAGATGAATCATTAAATATTTGTCAATACATTCGATATTAAATCAACTATCATCATTATTACCATATTAACATAATACTTAATAACAAAATGATATTTCTTTTAATTACCATAAATTAATGTTCAAAATTATAATTCTTAAACTTAAAGATACTGAAGAGAATATAAATACAGTTTTATAAAAGTATCAAATAAAATCAAATCAAATAAAATAAAATAAACTACATGATAATGATAATATTGAAATAATACCGGAAGATAATAAAATATCACCGACGACATTTTTCAATGAAACATTCATTTCTGACAAAGTTAATGTCCAACGTAGTTGTTCCTCAGCAAGACCATCGACAAGTTTAACCGCCCTTGCCATTCTTTCCTCGCATAAATTCTTTTGTCTCTCCAATTCCAACTTTTTATCTTCCTTTTCTTGCAAAGTATCTTTCAGCCTTTGTACTCTATTTTCAACTTCCTTCAATCTATCCATAGCATCTGACAAAGCTTTTTCGGTTTCTATCAATACTTCTTCAGCCTTTGCCAATGCTTCCATCTTTGGTTTTACTTTTAAACTCACAAAGTAATAGTTGTACATAGCATGAATCCAAAGGCATAGTGAATGACACGCTTTTGATACTTGAAGAATCTTTTTTACATTATTTCAATTATTATTATTATTATTATTATTATTATTATTATTATTATTATATATATACATGTATAAAAATAATCAATAATTCCAAATTTATACATGTATAAGAGTAAGTACATTTACAGTGTGTCTCAATACTTTGTTTTATCCTAAATTCTACCAACATATTTTATGAATTAAATATGTGTCAATTAATTTTAAATGAAGATTGATTTTTCTCCATTATTAATTTAAACAATTAAAAATGTGTATTTTTTTTTTCTATGTATTTTCTCTCGGAAATAAATTTCCTGTATAAAATTCATATGAAATATTAAACATTTATGAATGAATTTAAATGATTGATTTGTTTCATGTGCATTATGATGTATCATTTAAAATGCATTTCACAAATTTCCATCATTATAAAACACATTTTTAATAAAGTATATCAGTAAAATAATAGGAAGAGAAAAATATAAATTGAGACATCTCCTGTTCATATACATATATATATATATATATACAGTATGTGAAATAAAATGCGAAATTGTACACCTTTGTTGGTTGAAAATCTGGATTCTCTATATAAGGTTTCAATTTATTGATCATATCTTCAGTTATATTATCTCGATTGAAATTGACCATCATGTTTAAAAAATGTCCAGCATCTGCTAACATTTGACTACCTGGTGTCCAATAATCTAATATTTTTTCACCAGGTAATTTACCTGGCAACTAAAAAAAGAAAATAAATCAATAAAACTGAGAACAATTATTTACAACGACAAAACATATATATATTTATGTATGTATGTATGTATGTATGTAATATAATACATAAATATAATACATGTATAATAATTTATTTTAATTATTTTGTAACAAGTGTGCACGCGTTGTACTTGTATAACGAGTTATTAGAAAATATAATCGAAGTATCAACATAAAAAAGAGAGAATAAGAGAAAAAAAAAAGGTACAAACCTTGTTAGGTTTCACATTATTCACAATACACATAGCTTCTATAACAAGAAGTACACCAACCGGGGGTCTTTTCATAGCTTTCACCTCTGTAATGTCACCCTTGTTCAATGCTTTTAAGCTCGCTTCGGCATCATCGAGCATAGGTTTGGCTTCACCTACGCAAATGATAAAGTTCAATTAAAAAAAAAAAATTTATATATATATATATAATGAAAAAGCAAAGGTGTCATTAAATTATTTTCATATAAAAAAAAAAAAAAGAAAAAAGAATAAATTTGTAAAATATATTATTAATATCAATAATAATAATAATAATAATAATAGTAATAATAATAATACTTAAGTCTGCTTCAGCATCGTCTCGAATTAATTGATTCTCATTTTTTAATTTAGTAGCAGCTACCTCTTGTTTCATTGCTATTTCTTTTGTTTTTTCTGCTTCAGCCTAAAAAAAAAAGAAAAAAAAAAAAACAATAAATAAAATAAATAAAATGTTTGTCAAATTTCTTTTGGATGATATGAAAATAAAAAAAAAATATATAATGTCGAGTGAGAAAAAACATAAAACTGTAAATATTTGTACAACGATATTATTCAGGTTAGTGTATACAAAAATAAAAAAAAATACCTTGCACGATATTTTCAATGTGTGTTGCGTTTKTAYTTTTTTTTTTTTTTTTTTTTTTWWTTTAATTTAAATATTGTAATAATATATATATATTATTTATAGAATATTATTTGATATAGAGAGAATTATAATTAATAATATTATACTTAATGGGTGTTATAAAAAATAAAAACAAAATAAATACAACCGTGCGCCATATTTTCAAAGTATTACATTTG